GTGATTCAATATGTTGTAATAAACAATTGGCATTTAGCATGCTGAGGCAAATCTTAGCATAACCAAGCCTAGTGAGAGGTTTTCATTTAAATAAAGCAAACCATATAAATATCAATCAGTTTGAATATAGTCAGTGATTTAAAACAATGTTGAATGTTTTATCATGGAAGCTCTTTAGCACTTGTATGTGTTAAAGACACAGTGTGTCCGTCCTAATTTGCACAGTACGTAGCTGACAGCACTGTTAGGTTTTTGTGTTCTCTTATTATATTGTACCAGTAATAACCATGGGTTTGACTATTTAAAAAAAAAAAAAAAAAAAAAAAAAAAAAAAAAAAAAAAGACAAGGGTCAGGAATTATGCTTAGAATTGGGGGCACAGGTACCCAAAATGTTGTCCTCTGTGATAAGCTTTGATGAGTGAAAATTAATGTATCCAACAATGAAATATGTATTTTGGCTCAGAGGGTTACATGCAGAGTAGCAGAGGCAGTCACTGCATGAACATTCGCAGGCCAGGCTCCCCTTGCAAGGTGAGCATCACTGGGACAGGCTTGTACAACTGACCCTAAAGTGTGCGAGTGACTCATTAATTTTATCTGTACAGGCCAAGCCATTTGCAGTTAGCTCTTTGAGATTAGCCCTTCTCTGGTTTTGAAATACACACAAAATACCTGTGGCTTCTAATTATTTTTCAGTGCATGTTGCTTGCTAGGAAAAGAACCCTTTGCCTTTATTGAAATGACAGCTTAGATTTCAATAGAGAACAATCTTTGCAAACTACTTCTGTCAGTAATACTCACTTCCTTCAAAGCAACTCTTCTCATTAATGACATCAATTGCTAATTCATGTTCCATCTGGATTCTCATATAGCTGCATAGGGTACTAACGAAATTGCCCTTTTGTGGAAATGGCAGTGAGGCATATGCACAGTCTAAAACTGTCTCCACATTTCTAAGAAGTGAATCCAGGATAAAATTTTTTTGCTCCACCCTTGGAGACCATCTGCGACTTTTTGTATTCAGTTACTGACCTTAGAACCACGGCTCTCGAAGCATGCTGCGCTTTGTGCTGGGGGTGGTTACTGCTTCCAGTCCCTACTTATACCTGTGCTGGGGCACTGCTGTCCTTGGAGGGGCTGGTTGCAGGGACCTGCAGTCACTATATAATGCTGATGCACAGGGACTGCTGTGTTTCATGTAGTTGTATGTGCGACTGTAATTTCAACCAGAAGTTTTGTGTCCAGCAGTGAAGTCACAAATACACTCTTACTGTCTACCTGTGCCACTTAAGTGCTGGGAAAAGATTAAGACCGGCTACAATAAGCAGATTTTTTAGTTGTTTGCATTTCAGGTGTTTTGTAACTTTTGGTAATCCTTAAAAAGTCTCTATACTGTGAATACTACCTTACTTGGTTTTGTGTGTACTAAAAAAAAAAAAAAAAAAAAAAAAAAGACAGTGTTAATCCTTGAAAGGTTTGTTTTTCTTTCATATTCTTCAAGTACTTGAAAACATCAAAGTCTTTTTATAGCTTTTAATTTTATGGGCAGTCAAAATACCACAGGAAGGCCAAAATTTGTATTGTTTTGGCTCTGCAGATATCTTCTTGAAGGATTACAGCAGTCAACAGAATGTGTAAACACCATTTCCAGGGGGTCACTCAAGATCCTTAAGAGCAGCTTGGGAATGTAGTCCCACAAGGGAAGACCCTGAAATTGTATGATTGAATGATGGTCAGGATCTTCTGTTAAAATGTTTTAGTAATTTTGTACTTCATAGCTTTAAGTCAATTCTCTTGCATTTGGGATGCAGTGATTGATCACGTTTCTGTAATTAGGACATTGACATATAACACACAGTGCATTTACTTGAATTGAAAGTTTACCTCAAATTGACAGTGTAATTATTTAAACAAAGGTGTAGTTATTCAGAAATTATAATGTGACTGCAGTAGTTATCTGACCAAGCCTTGTTCATTATGCACATTGATGGCTTTCTACATTCTACAGCTTCTCACACTGCAAAGAAGTATATGTAAAGTCTGTGAAAATTCTGGGGAAGATACTGCTTTAGTGGAAAGCACGTGCTGACGTAAAAAACTCTTGGAGTTCTCACGTTAATTTTATAACTTTTATAGGAAAGAACTAGGAGATTGGAAAAGTGTCTTCTCACAGTTTTGTTAAACATAACCTCTAAACATTGCAGGTTTTTGTTTGTTTGTTTGTTTGTCTAGTTTTGTTGTTGTTTGGGGGTTGTTGGATGGGGGGGAGAAGTGGTTGGTCGATGAGGTTTTTTTGGTTCTTTAATAACCTGGCAGGAAGTTGTTCAGTGAAATCTAAACCCATTCAAGTAGCAGTGTAGGCGAAAAACTAGTTATCTGATTAGCCACCTTACTGTCTTGGCAAGTCCAGGCTGATACCGGTTCATAAGTTCAGAGCTGGAAATGGTGGAAAGAAAGTAATTTGAATAAAATAACAAACAGATCACTTTAAATAAGTTATGGGAAGAGCTTATCATTAAAGTATTGATTTTTGCAGACTTTGAGAGAGAAAAAAAGAATATCCTGTTAAAGACCCCAAATAACCATATCCATTCTGTTCCACATGTTTCATATTTTATTTGAATTTAATTTTGTCTTTAGAAAGCCTTAAATTTTAGAAATTTGTACTGCATAACGCATTGACATAGTAAAGCTGTGAACTTGCCATACTGGATTAAAATACTGACATTCATATAAATGCTATCTTCACTGATAAAATATTTCTCAAAACAAGGGTGCAGTTTGACACGCGTTTTAGTAGTAGCAGTGTCAGGTTGAGCAGTTTATCTTCTCCTCTCTGTGCCTACCTGTGCTATGTTATCCATTATGCCAGTATTGTGGGTTTTGTGGCTAAGTAATTCATCGAGGGGGAAAACCAGATCTGCATTAAAAAAAAAAATAAAAAAAAAAATAAAAATTGGCAAGTTATTTTAGAGTTGCACCAATTCCCTGCTCCTGTTCCCTTGTGCTAAAAAGACAGCGGGGACTGGAGAATTAGCAGCAGTAAATAGCCTGGTGTAGGATCTGCTTAAAGTTGCTGATTGTCGGAATAAAAACTGACTGTACTTCAAAATAGGTAATTTTGTCCTTTGAAAGAGTGTTAGAAAATGAGTACAGAAAAGCATTTGGAAGAACACACACATCAGAAACTATTGTATGTGATTAGAATGCCTTTTCCTAAGCATTTGTTTTGACTTTCTTGCAGGGTCTCCACTATGATAAAATATATGCAGGGTCTCCACTATGTTAAAATATTCTCATGTTTAAGACAATTAAGAATTTATTTTTTCCTTGTAAAATAAATCTGGATAAGAGTTGGTTATAGTAAATTTGTGTGGTGACATTTTCTACCCATCCAATTTTCATAAATTTATGTATCGCTTGACTGAGTCTGTAATTCAGCATTTCTATTGGGTTTTTAGAGAACAAAGGCAAACCAGAAAGGTTAAATGTTTAGAGCGGTCCTGTAGCTGCCCTTAAGCTATTAACAGAATTTAGAAGTAGAATTTCAGCAGAAGGGGGTAAACAAAAAGTGTGATTCATGCAGACAAATATCTGTGGCAATGGTCACAAAATCATATTCATTGTACCTACTAAGCTTTTCTTATTGAAGGTGAAAGAAAATCAAATCCCTAGCTTTTAAGATCTTTTCAGTTCTATGGAAAATGTAAAACCCCACTTCAGAGAGAGCTGTGAAATCTCATTCTGTACCTGATAAAAAGAGTGTTTTGGAACCCACCACTTTCAAAAAGTTCTATGAAAGAGGAACCACTGTGCTGGGATCACACTTCAACTTCAGTCTTGACTTTCTTTTAACCTAAGATTTTACATTAAATATAACTAAAATAAAAAGCCTTTTTATTTTAGTTATAAAGTTTAAGAATAAATATTTAAATCTGAAACTACTGAAATGGGATTCTTCAAGAGGGGTAGAACTCTCTCATTCCTTTTTGCTTGGAGGAAAAAAAATAAAGAAACAACCAAAAGTCCAAACAAAACTGGATTTGTCAAATTTTCAGTTTGAGCCAGTGTTTCAGCTTAAGTAGATGAATTTTTGGGGAATTTGCAGGACTTATAAAAGAATGGTTCTGTAAATTTTTTTTTCAAGCTGTACTAAGGATTTATTGGCAGAAAACAAGATTGCTGACATTATATGTTATTCAGTGAAACTCCATTGGCCTTTACCTCACTGCTATACAGCCACTTGGCCTGGAGCTCACCTCTCTTGCCTTTCTGCTGATCATCTGTGTTTAAAAATGCAACTTTGGGATCAAATCCTCCAATAAGCATTGTATTGCTCTGACCTTCATGTTTAGTGAAATAAACGCAAGAAGTTAATAGGCATATGTTGCTGTTGATGGGATGATGGATGTTCCTTGCTCTGCATGCGCTTCTAACCCAAGTTAAGCAGCGTACCTTGTGTTGGAGCTGTTGGCGCTGTTGGCTGTCTGCAGATACATGTGCCAGGCCATGAGCCCAGCCAGACTGCCTGCTCACATGCACCCGTACTCTTCCTTGTCATGCACCTTTGCACTTAGTTTTGGCATGTGGATTTTATGCTTTGGTAGAAGGTGCACTGTGAAGTCCTGCATAAAAGAAACAAAAAGGAAAATAAACTAGAGCTTGTAATTGTTGTTTTGAATAAAATGCTAATGCCTAAAACTATTGTCATTAAACAACAATGAATAAAAGATCTGAATCCTGAAAAGTCAGCTGAAAGCCCCCCCCAAAAAAACCAAACAAAAAACTATAAAAGAATTGCAAGTGATGTATTCGATTGCAGTGGTTGTAAAAGAAACTTGCTGGATGGTAATGGTGTACAACAGGCTCTTTTCTAACAGTCTTTTTGATAGTATGCTTTAAAGAACAGTGAAATTGTATTTTAAATAAGAAACATTGTTTTCCCTGTTTCAATGTCTGATTAACTTTTATGTGTTTTGTTTTTTGTTGGGTTTTTTTAAGATCTTGATGGTTATGGCAAAATCTTTCATCGGCGTATGGTACAATGGGCTACCGGTTGGATGATTTACAGTCATCTGAAACATGATATGTACTTCTCTTACTTGTCCATGGTAAGTTTGGTTCCTGTACATACCTATTAAATGCTTGATTTCACAGAAGGAACTAAAAGTTTGCAGTGACCTTCATTGGGTGTTGTTCCCATTGTTGTCATATGGACTAGCCTAGAGTTGTTAATTTACTGAATACATAAAAGCCAGTTCTTTTTCTTAAGCTGTTTGAGAATGTTTAAAAAACTTAAGTTAAAAAGATACCCATACGAATTTTTTCTTTTTTGTTTTGGATGATTTTAGAACTATGCAAAGATCCTGATGCATAGCTTGAAACGCTGTCTTTCCCTTCAGCTTGAAAGCAACTTCACCTCCATGTGGAGTGTCTTAGTTCAAATTACATTCCAGGCAAATGTTCTTTTTGGTATGACACATACCAAGACGCATTCAGGAACAAAATAACTGTAACTGTTAAAAATATAATTCAAAACATAGGGAAAAAAATAAATTGGAGAAAATATTTAGAAATAAGTTTTCAGTTTTATTTTTGCACTGGTTCTATGTTTTGTGCTTACAATTAATCTTATTATAGTATTCTTGAGGAATGTTAAGTATTGTATAAACAATAATATTAAAAGCAAGGCTCCTCGTAGTATAACTGAACTATCACTTCTGATTTACAGTGTCCAGACATGCAATAATGAGTTCCAAAGCACTAGTTATTCATTTGGCTTAAATGCATTGACAAACCAAATTTGGATATCAAAACGTTCCACTGACAGCTCTTTAACACACCAGAAATAGCAGCCCAGTCGCCTGTCTACATATCAGATTAAGCATTTGAGGTTAAAATCTCCACTGTCTTCCTCTTCTCCTTTTTAAGGGTGTGGACATGGCTCTTACGCCAAACCTTGTTTGTGAATGGTACTGAATTCTCTGGAAGAGTTGCTTAGCCATTGTTAAAATCTGTCTGTAAATGTTTTTTAACTTAAGTCTGTCTCAGGTTCAAGTTAGAAAAGATACGATGTGCCAGCATGAAACACATCTTACCTTTTCTACTCCTGTTGCAGATTTCAGAGTTCTTAGAGGTATGCAGAAGTAGTGAGAAAATCAGAGATGCAAACATTGAGAATAGAAAGGGCAAAAAGACAGAGGAAATGCAGTTTCCAGACGTGTGTTTGTGCTTGATAATGGAAAGATGTGTTTAAATATCCTATATAAACGGATAGAGATATTAACAGAAAAAATATTGCTATTATTTTTGGTGGAGGTAGATTGGTTATACGGTGAAATGGAGAGACATACAGCACATCTTTTCCATCCTTTGGAGGGCATCTTCTGCCTGCCTCACTGTTACCAACTTCAGGTGGCTTTGCATTTCAAATTATATGTCTCCTAGGTACTAACTAGACAACTCTGAAACCAGGGAGCCAGATAACTAGCAAAGAAAACATCACCTCACTTGTTTCCGCTGGCAAAGTATTGAGGAAGAAAGAAAGATATTGTTTGATGGGTTATCTAGCACCTGTTGATTCTGCAAGGCAGTTCCCCGGGTATTCATTGAGTTCTGTATTGTTCCCCAACCAGGCTTTTTATTTGCCGAATTAGCCAATTTGCTTCAAAGACTTGACCTTTTCTTTTCTCCTCTTCCTTATCAGCAATGTGCCATACATTTCTGAGCCTATTTTTGCATCCTGAATGTGCACTGATTCATGATGAAATAAAAGCTTTGTGACAGGTCTGATGGAAGAACTAACTTCTTTAAACAGAGAAAAGGATGTCTATTTCATATGTGTAAACACTGCAGGATTTTTCTTCTTTTCCACAGGTCTGCTACACCACATTTTACTGCAATTATTCCCTGTGTCCATCAGCATAAGAACAGAATCCAGTCCACAGTGTTTCCTTTGTGGGCAAACTAAAAAAAAAAAAGAAAGTGTGATCACGTCTTAAATTGTTTAAGAAATGCTGGTTTGTGTTGCCCTGACAAAAACCCATTGCTTGCTTTGGCAGTCTTACTTGTCAGAATTTTTCCTCTTTGCAGTCAAACTCTTTAATCACAGAGGATGTGTGCGTAAAAGGGCATCTTCATTCCTCTACCACCCCTCACTATTGTATCCGCACAAGGTTCACATAGGCTCTCAAAAGCCCACTGCTTCTTTCTAACCAGATTAAAGCTAAGGTGGACATCAAATAGTAAACTGAATGTCACCACACATGATATGAAACTAGAGATTTTTACCCTTACTACAGTAGCTCACAGAATGACATCAGGAGGCTAAATAAGCCTTACATGTCAAATTCAAGCCCTACGGAAGAAGAAATGATATTCAAAACTGTAATATATACTTAGAATCCGTAAAATAATACTGATGATAATAATAGTTCTAGTTTGTTCCCAAATCCTATACTCTGTCAGCTAGACCAGGGAAACCTACTACAGAAAGATACGTTAAGGTGATGAAGTCAGGCTTTTAGATGGTAGGATATGAAAAGAACTTACATGAAAGGGAAATGGTATCTCTTACAAGGAAGTACTGGAAATGCAATATTGTACATCAGCCTCTAGTTATTGAGTGTCTTCTGTATCTTCATTCTGCATTGGATCAGCTGATAACAACTTCAACAGTTTTTTTTTATGGCTGGAAAGCAGTCAAGTCTACCGAGATGAACAAACAAACACATTAAACAACAATAAGAAGTGGAAAATCTTAATTTTCTCCTATATATATTGAGAAACGTCATATAGTATTTGAATATTGAAAGGATTTTTTAAAAGATATTGAATATGTAAAGTCAACACAGGATGACAAGCAATAAAGAGCAGAAACCAGATGCTGTTTAGGAGACATGATAATTAAAAAGAGACTATATAAAACATTAAAGGTCAGGACATCTACAAACAAGACAAGTGGTTCAGACCATATGTTATAAGAACAAAGAATGAGTTTTTAGTACATAATCACATCAACTTACTTGGAGGGCACACTGAAAATAAGTCTGGAAAGCTCAATAAAAACTGTAGTAGGTATCCCACAGTCCTAATACTTAATGTTGTCTGAGTGTTATGTAATATAGACAACAACTTAAAGGAACAACATCAGAAACTGCTAGGTAGTATTACAGTTCTGTTACCTGACTTAGAAAAAGGCAACAAGAAGAAAACATGGAGAAAGTCTAGCCCTGGATCTCAATTTCTCAACTCAAAACTGTCAAAAACCATGTACTGAAACCTCCTATACCAATACTAAGTAATGGAAAGCTTGTATTTTGGATGTTTCTGCTCCTAAACTCTTGTTTCAGCCTCTCTGTGTTAAGGGCTCATCGCAGTTTACAGATACTGTTATAACTGAAGTCCTCCATTTTAATTGTAAATAGTCATTAATAAGTATTAAACCCAATCAATTTTTGTTGTTTCCATTGATTTCTCCTTACTATGGAAATTCAGGGTTCTCTAGATTGCCACTAATCTTGCTTGGAGCATTACTCTGTCAGAGTTCACACAGATGCATTCAATGAATCTGGGTCTGTCCTTCCATGCCACCTGCTAGCTGGGCTGTCCGAACACATCACAGGCTTTGTTTGGATGCCAGAATAAATGGCATAGCAGGTATACTGAGAGAATCAAAATGAAGCATGCATTATTTATGGAAGTGATTACAATCCTGCTGAGATATATCTTGAACCGAGATGCCTGCAGCTAATAAACAGAAACAAAGGAATAGCTATTAGTGTTTGTCTTGAAAATTTCTGGTTTGGGTGAATTTAAACTAGATTTTTAATGCTGCCTTGGTGCATTCAAATAAAGTAAGAACTCCCTCTTGCACTTTTACTTTCATTTCCACGTACTTCTGTGAACTTCATTTTGAAGCTAATACTGTGATCCAGGATTGCACCATGTCAAGAGTCTTGAATAAATTTTGCCACAGAAGCTTCAAAAACTACAGAGAAACTAGCCACAAAGTTAGGTGCTGGTTAAAAGAAGGCTCAGTAACTTAGGAGGCATTACTGCTGATGTGCTCTCTACTGATGTTTTTCTGTTAGTAGGGAATCTTAACTAATGATTCTCTATCAGCCTGTCCTGACTGATGTGCTAGTCAATGGATCAGTGTGTAATTTTATTTCCTCTCAAAGAACATCCTTCTAATGTGTGATAGGATTTGACTTTAGATGAACTGCTGCAAGCAATTTCTTTATCTGCATGCAGACAGGAAAATATTTTCACTTTCTATAGGTTTGAATTTCTATAGGTTTGAATTTGTGCATAGTTTTCTTCTGAATTCATAAATTATTTATGCCAAGTAATTACCTCTGTGGGCTTTTTGCATTTTAAAAAAATAGTAAATGAATAAAGATGCTTGGAATGAGAAGAGGCTCTGTGGTAACATTACTGTTGTGTTTAAATTCTATACTCTTTAACTGCACCAGGCTCTTAACAAAAGTGCTGGTTTTAAATCTTCAGCAAACTTGCTTGAAAATATATGCCATGAATTAATATTTAATTTTTAGCCTTTCTACTCCGCTATTATAAAAGAAATGGTAGTTATTTTCTACAAAAGACTGAAGGCTTGCCAGTTTTAGTAGGGTAAAAAAAAAAAAAAAAAGTCACATGCAGATGCTAGTAAACTGATTGGTTTTTTTTCCTTAGAATGTTGATCTAGTGTTTTTTCTCATTAACAGTTAGTGATATAAGAATATACTGCAAGCACTTTAGATCTGTTTGGTTTTCTTATTCTCCTTCTATGAAGGTAACACTGCTAATGGAAAACCAAGATGCAATGCAGAGAACTATCCAACCCATTACCAGTTTGATAGGGGAGGATGCTGGAAAACTGGAAGAGTTTAAATGGTGTGTGTAATCTAGGAGAGCCATATCAGTGATCGACTGTCTTTGCCCTAGCAGCACCAGCTCCTCCCCTCAAAGTTAGACCTTGTTGAGCTGAAGGAAAATAGTGCAACTTAATCAGTGATAGATCTTTTTGAAGGGAGAGGTGGCTTTAGTTTGGATAATCTGCGATTGAGTTAGTTTTGCCCATTTGTGTCCTCACGCTGGCACTCTCACA